AAATTAAGCGCTCAGCCTCCAAAGCTTTGGGGCGTCCTAAAAAATTAAGCGCTCAGCCTCCAAAGCTTTGCGGTCCAAGACGGACTAATCATCATATCATCGAAATTTTAACATAAACGATCGGAAATATTTGTATTTAATACTCGATGCAACCTCTTGCCATAACCCTAACCGCTCTCCCATTTTCCAATACAAAAAGAAGCTCTAGGTAAAATAATACGCTTGTTAGGATTATTACCCGCGGTAAAATTAACATAATGCACATTAAAAAAAAAAAAAAAAACGATCCAAGCTCGCCTTACGGCTTGCATAACCTCAGCGTTGGGCATCCCCCGTGCGCCTTCCGCAGGAAGAAGATGATCCCAAACATCAGCTCATTTTTGTTGAAGAACGACATCCACTAATTTGCCATACTCTTCTCGCATTAAGGGCAATAAGAACATACTCTTTTGCACGGACCGGCGTGCAAAAAAGGTTATTCAAAGTTAGCAATTCCTTAAAAGACCTTAGAACCCACCAAAAACAGAATATATACCCCTCGGAAAGACGCCCTAGTGCCAAATATTGGTTAATATAAGGATACAATCCTGCTGCCATACTCCAGCCCGATCGACTACCTAATCTATGGCAAATACACCTAATACCCCTTTCCCGTGCGGGATTCAACAACGAGAAGGGCCGCCGGATTCAGATCAATGCGGAACAAACGTCTCAAACCCTCTTTAATGTAGGAATCAATATGTATATTATCCATTTCCATTTCCATCGGGCTCGAATCGAGGTCGATCTATAGGAACATAAATCAAAAATACATCCAAACAAAAACAAAAAACCGAACACCGATCCCGAAAATCGAGTGAACCAAACGACATTGCCCTAATTATTAGAACAAAATACAAATAAAAATATCCCATATTTAATTAAGAATTCGGTAATTATATATTTTTAAATATTATTATATAGAAAATAAATATATATATATATATTTTAAATATATTTGTATAATATATTTAAATATAACAAAAAATATTCATTAAATTTTTAATATCAATTAATTTCATTATTTTTTGTTATTTGTCTTATGGTTTATAATCTAGTTTATTTAAATAAATATAATATATATTATTCAAATAATTTAATATTTCCTAATAATAATTCAATTATAATTACCAACCTTTCAATATATATATGCAATATCCATTAATCAATTTCAAATGATAATTATTATTTGCAAAAACAAATATATATTCATCCAATTCATAAAATATCAATCATGCAAAATATATATAATTAGCTAAGTAAAAGCTACCCCGATCGCGATGCCTATCCAACGACGGATTCGGAATGGGTTTAAAACGGAACAATCTCGGAACGAGGTCCATTATCATGGATCTGAATTTCGTAACAAACACAATATTTTAGCAAGTTTAAATATAAATTTCACAAAATATTTTCTTATTTCTACCATAAATATATCAAATCCTATTAATATAAATATGCAAAATAATATATACAAATTTCATAACCAGAACAACAATTTTGCAAAGCCAAATATAAATATCGTAAACCATATATAATAAAAAAAATCAATTATCAAAAAATATATTCAATATAAATAAATTTATACAAACAAATTAAATAATTAAATAATAAAATATATATATATATATAAATATTCATTAAATAAATATATATATATATAAATATATATATATAAATATATAAATATATTTACAAAATAAAAATTAATTAATTTAATAAATAAATAAATAAAATATATAAATAAATACCAAAAAACAACAAAAACATAATAATTAAATAAAATAAATAAATACAATAATTATATAAATAAAGAAATAATTAAATATAATAAAATCAAATATATCAAAACACAATAAATTACAAAACAAAACGGGATATAACGAGACAAGACAAGACAATACAAGACAACACAAGACAAACAAGACAAGCAAGATAGACAAGACAGACAAGAAAGACAAGACAGACAGGACAGACAGGACAGACAGGACAGACAAGACAGACCGGACAGACAGGACAGACAAGACAGACAGGACAGACAAGACAGACAGGACAGACAGGAGAAACAGGACAGACAAGACAGGACAGACAGGACAAACAGGACAGGACAGACAGGACAGACAGGACAGACAGGACAGACAGGACAGACCGGACAGACCGGACAGACAGGACAGACAAGACAGACAAGACAGACAAGACAGACAGGACAGACAGGACAGACAGGACAGACAGGACAGACAGGACAGACAGGACAGACAGGACAGACAGGACAGACAGGACAGACAGGACAGACAGGACAGACAGGACAGACAGGACAGACAGGACAGACAGGACAGACAGGACAGACAGGACAGACAGACACAGACAGACAGACAGGACAGACAGGACAGACAGGACAGACAGGACAGACAGGACAGACAGGACAGACAGGACAGACAGGACAGACAGACAGACAGGACAGACAGACAGACACAGACAGGACAGACAGGACAGACAGACAGACAGACAGACAGACAGACAGACAGGACAGACAGGACAGACAGGACAGACAGGACAGACAGGACAGACAGGACAGACAGGACAGACAGGACAGACAGGACAGACAGGACAGACAGGACAGACACAGACAGGACAGACAGGACAGACAGGACAGACACAGACCGGACAGACAGGACAGACAAGACAGACAAGACAGACAAGACAGACAGGACAGACAGGACAGACAAGACAGACCGGACAGACAGGACAGACAAGACAGACAGGACAGACAAGACAGACAGGACAGACAGGACAGACAAGACAGACAAGACAGACAAGACAGACAGAACAGACAGACAGACACAGACACAGACAGACAGACAAGACAGACAAGACAGACAAGACAGACAAGACAGACAGGACAGACAGGACAGACAGGACAGACAGGACAGACAGGACAGACAGGACAGACAGGACAGACAGGACAGACAGGACAGACAGGACAGACAGGACAGACAGGACAGACAGGACAGACAGGACAGACAGGACAGACAGGACAGACAGGACAGACAGACAGACAGACAGACAGACAGACAGGACAGACAGGACAGACAGACAGACAGACAGGACAGACAGGACAGACAGGACAGACAGACAGACAGACAGACAGACAGACAGACAGACAGGACAGACAGGACAGACAGGACAGACAGGACAGACAGACAGACAGACAGACAGACAGACAGACAGGACAGACAGGACAGACAGACAGACAGGACAGACAGGACAGACAGGACAGACAGGACAGACAGGACAGACAGGACAGACAGGACAGACAGGACAGACAGACAGACAGACCGACAAGACAGACAGAACAGACAGGACAGGACAGACAGGACAGACAGGACAGACAGGACAAACAGGACAGGACAGACAGGACAGACAGGACAGACAGGACAAACAGGACAGGACAGACAGGACAGACAGGACAAACAGGACAGGACAGACAGGACAGACAGGACAGACAGGACAGACAGGACAGACCGGACAGACCGGACAGACAGGACAGACAAGACAGACAAGACAGACAAGACAGACAGGACAGACAGGACAGACAGGACAGACAGGACAGACAGGACAGACAGGACAGACAGGACAGACAGGACAGACAGGACAGACAGGACAGACAGGACAGACAGACAGACAGACAGACAGACAGACAGACAGACAGACAGGACAGACAGGACAGACAGGACAGACAGGACAGACAGGACAGACAGGACAGACAGGACAGACAGGACAGACAGGACAGACAGGACAGACAGGACAGACAGGACACAGGACGGACAGACAAATCGATAGATAGATAGATAGATAGATAGATAGATAGATAGATAGTTAGATGGATGGATAGATAACTGGATAGATAGATGGATAGATAGATAAGAGAACAGCGCAAAAACCACAGCAAAAGAAAGACCTACAGAAAAGACGGAACATCAAGAACGAAAGGAAAGGAAAAAGGACGGAAATAAAGAAAAAAAGAAGACGAAACAACGAAAGAAAGAAAGAAAGAAAGAAAGAAAGAAAGAAAGAAAGAAAGAAAGAAAGAAAGAAAGAAAGAAAGAATGAATGAAAGAAAGAAAGAAAAAAGAAAGAAAGAAAGAAAGACAGAAAGAAAGAAAGAAAGAAAGAAAGACAAAGTCGTTCCTATAGTTGTATACTGTTTTGAAACTTCCGCCTCCCGGCTTCGCCGGCTATACTGGTACAATATTATATTCCAAAAATAATAACATATTCCAATTAAAGATATATATATATATATTTGTATGGTCCCGTGTTCCGTGTTGCTACCCCCCCCCCCCCCCATATGGTATGGGTCCCCCCAGGCCCCCCCCCCCCCCGGCCCGAGACCCCGAGCCCCCGGATCCTGGCACCTACGGTCCCACCCTCACCCCCAGGACAAACCAACCCGCAACCAAGCATAAACCAACCCTAAACTAACCCTAAACCAACCCGAAATACACTGAACCAAACCCTAAACCGTAGACCTCTAAACCTAAACCAACCCTAAATCAACATAAACCAACCCTAAACTAACCCTAAACCACCTAAACTAACCCCAAATACACCCTAAACCAATCCCTACAGAATAAACCCTAAACCTAAGCCAACCCTAAACCAACCCTAAATACACTCTAAACCAAACCCTAAACCGTACACCTCTAAACCTAAACCAACCCTAAACCAACCCTAAACCAACCCTAAATCAACATAAACCAACCCTAAACCAACCCTAAACTAACCCTAAATACACCCTAAATATACCCTAACCAATTCTAAAACAACCCTAAACCACCACAACCCAAGCACAGGACCACAACCACAGGGGGCGGGGGGTACTTGTCTGACCCATGACCATTGGTGGGGGGGGGGGGCTGGCAACGCTGTACCATATATATATATATATATAATGATTTTTTCAAATAGGTTTTATTTAGCATCAATGCCAATCACCTGCCAACAAACAATCACACAGGTTGCAACATGGCACTGGCAAAGAGCTCAGGGAAAAAGCGTAGCAAATTCATGCAGCCTGTAGCAGTGGCGCACGCAAAATACCCAACACCTGACCAAAGAACTTGAAAAAAGGCGTATCCTTGTCAACGTCACACAAGATGAGCAAGCAATGGGAAAGTTTCAATGCCAAGTCAGCTGTAGGCAAGCAAGAACCTGATATGTCTGGCAAGCAACAATTCCACTTGCTGACCTCTTTTGTGGAAGGCTGTCGCAGTTTGAGCTGAAGACCGTTTGTGAAAGGCATGTGCGGACAACACATGATGCAAACCGGTTTTGTGATGTCTGCCAGCTGTGTTCCGGATCCCTGTATATACAGCGATTGGCAAGATCTATTCAACAAATCCTGACATACTGTGGATGGACGAAATCCTGCACAACTTTGACACCATGCAAAACCAATTGGTTGTTGGTATTTACGGGGGAATCATCATTCCACAGCTTTTTAGGTGGTGCAAGATGTTAGCCATCCACAATATTTCAAGTGGGGCTCACATGGTGTGTCTTTGTGAGCGCCTCCATCCACAATATTTCAAGTGGGGCTCACATGGTGTGTCTTTGTGAGCGCCTCCTTGGGGTTGTTCAGTATTCGAGGCTTCTGTTGCATTGTTCCACGGATTGCAAGCTGTTGCGATCCACAGCCAGCTCCATTTGAGTGACCCGTGGCTTCTATCAAGTGGGCTCTGGGATGCTACTCACACAATTGTATGTTGGTGGCTGGAACTTGTTTGGCTTTCCCAAACTCAACCGTTTGCAAAACAAGTTGGAAGAAGTCTTGGAAGAAGTCTGCTCATAAAGTTCCAAAGTCTCAGATCTGGATTTGTCTCCGGTTTCCTTCCCTTGGCTTCCATTTGACTCTAAGAATACCCCCTCACACAAGGCAAGCCTAATTTCAGCCTCAAAATATGGCGCTTCCAAAAGAGACATAGAAAGGGCTCGTCCCATGGTTTTGATTGACACTTAGTGGCTCGCCTCATTTCAAGAGGGTCACAATTTTCCCTGATTCCCCCCCTCCAAACAAACAATGATCACACAAGAGTCGGGCAAAAAGCCGCTGGCACACCCCTCCCCCCTTTTGCATTTTTGTACAATCCTCCAATCCTCAGCCGGAGTCGGCGCCCTGCCTTTCACAACCCAAGCCGACATCGAAACCGCCTCGCTGATGTCATCGAAGCCATCCCTCTCCATGAAGCGGCGGAGTCCTCGAAGTTGGTACGTGCGCGGGATTTGGGGAAAATTCAGACGAAGGTTGCAGGCTACCACCGGCGCCGTTCGCCACCACGATATTTCCAGTATTGGTACATGCCCTGTAAAACCGACGGGGAAACGTGAACACATTCTTAAGCAACTAGAAGCAAACGTGGTTGGGATGATGTGCAAGCTGAGCGGCCAGAATCATGGGAGGCCCTTCCAGTGAGAATCAACAAACAAAACATGGAGGAAAGAGTGCTGAAGTTGCCAAATGCGAGAATGGGGTTGGGTGAAACATCAAATCCAGCCATGATTTTAGAAGTAATTGTTTAGCCGGGGGGAAAGGAGCGCCAACGGACCCCTTCTCGCCAATTTTCACGGTGGCAACCATGGAAGCCCCCCTAAGATGCCCAAAATGACACGAGGAATGGGGTAGTCCCGCCCTTCGGTTTGCCTCAAGAGGCATCCAGCATGAACATCGGAGGGTTTCGCCGGAGCCACAGCTCCGGACCCAACGACTTATCATGCAACAATTCTGCTTCAGAAAACTGGTAGTCTCCTTCCCTCGTCCTGCTGGGAGACATTCGGACCCAGAAATACAAGGTTAACCTTCTAGAACTTTGCCTAACAAATGGACCAACTCAGGAAAACCAAAAGGTGAAAAGGTCGACTCGCTCTGGCCAAGTGAGTTGCCATTCATCAATCATCTCTGCGTTCTCTTCTTACCACTTTTCCTGCTCTCGGGATTACACCGCCAGGCGAAGATATCATTCCCTTCCCTCCATGTCATTCGTTTGCAATTGGATGAGGAATGGAAGGGAATGAATGGTGAGGAAGAAAACGGTGGGACGAGACCCAGCAGGAGGTGACTGATGAAGAGCTGAGAGTGTCCATCACTCTTCTTCACCCAATCCTTTCCATCGGTGAAATGCATGAGAAAGAAAGACGGCAAGGATGAGCGTGATAGACAAAGAACCCTTCAGTGGGACTAAACGTCAGAGAACACCGGCGACTTGGTCAATCCACGAGCCGCGTGTCCTGCGTGCACGTCCTGCAACAAGCCCGGGCCCTTGTACACTAAGCCAGTGTACACCTGGCGATTCGGGTTGACACGTCCCTCATTGACCATAGACTGCTGAGTGAAGAGAGAAACCATCTACTCGCTTCCCATGCGAGTTTCCTGGAAGCAGAGTCCTTCCTTTGCAAAAGGCGCATCTTGACCGGAGCACTTGAAAGAAACAAACATCCTGAAACGTACTTGATATGGATCCAAGAGAGATAGTATCTATAATTCTGAAATGTTTCGGGGTAGCTTGAGATGAGGGGTTGCGATCCTATGGAATATCCAAAAATCCAAACAAGCCAACGGCATCAAAAGGCAAGCCGCGAGACAGCTGAGCAATCAGGGTTGTGCTGCCCACACAGTTGCGGGCCCTGTTTTCCAGGACATGAAAATGCACTCACTCAGAATCAACTCTTTGACATGGCTGGTCACGCTGCAAGGAGCTGGGGGATGGTGGTATGAGTCTGACCCTTTGAGGCGTTTTGGAATAGTGCAATTCACACTACACAGAACCTCCCCACCTCCCCCCCCCCGTTCCGCTCAACTGAAGGGTTTATTACAGTAGTCAGCGGTACATCTATAAGTCAGGGTCCTCGGAAACCACAAAACACATTGCCATTGCCAACTTGCTGATTATCCTACCACCCAGTTCTTTGCTAAAAATTTCTGGACCATTTTGGTGCAATCCGAGGACCTTGTAAGTGAATTGAATTGTGATCATTGCCAAACATGGGAACTTCGAGACAGGAACCTTTGTCATGGGCCCCGCACAAAACCTTCTTTTCCTCACAAAACAATTTGCCCGCAACCATTTCCTGCCAAGTAACCATGGATAAAAATCTGATATGACCTGAAACCGGGGAACACCGGCTCCACTCTTTTGCTTTGCCTTTCTGACCTGAAAGGGGGCCAATCAGGTCTCGGCAAGTCCGAAGACCTCGTCAAGGCTGGGCCGCCAAAAACATCCTTTACCGAGAGTAATACCCTCCGGTTAGCCCCAAAGTAATGACGAGCCCACCTTGGCTTAAAGCAATCAAAAGCTTTAATTGAAAACATCCTAAGAAGAACAGCCTACTATAAACGAACGAATTCGTGACCTAACAAACCATGAAAACACATGACTCCCTTGCTACATAGCAAAATGGTCTTCCATCCGTGGCACGTAAGGTTGCAAGTTTGGTTCGACACTTTCCTTCACCTGGCGTCAAAACCCGTTCGCCTTGAACTGGGGGTCTTTACTAAGCTGTCGACATATGGAGCCCCTGTCCCTTCAAACCGCTCCTCAACATAGAGACCCCTCCGGGCAAACCAGGCTGGTTTGCCTTTGGTTCCGTTTTTCATCCAAATAGAACAGGCCTATGTTCAGACCCGCGGGGTTTCCCTATGTGAGCCACCCAGTTGTGTTTTGTTTTTGCAACTTTGCCTCACTTCCTGAGTGCATTGGTCAGAAACCAAAGCAAAGGCTGGACTTGGATTTGCTCTTGAAATCCCAAACGTCTTTGTAAAGCCACTACTTTGCAACCCACTTCCGGCGTGGATTGGCCATACATGCTGCTTTTTCTTTTGGCTGCCCACATGGCCATGCATTTCTCAATAGGGCACCCCCTGAAAAGTGGTTGGTGGACAGAAAAAGTCCACCTAAGAATGTCCAAAGGGTCTCCACTTAAAATCCTCCCCACATCCAACTCGCCTTTCAGCACCTCACCAGCTACGGAAGCCTTGGCCGAACGGGGCGCCTCCACCAGGCTGGCGCCGGCGCGGATCTTCTCATAGGCCGCCTAGATGCGTTGTTTCCCGTCAGAATTTTTGAACAAGTCGGGCTCGTCCCTGGCCTTTTTGAGGGAAAACTCGGGCTTGTCTCTGGCTCTTCAAGTACATCTGTTTTTGGCCAAACAGACCCCAACAAATCATAGATGGTTGCGATGTACCATTCGGGCACAGGGAACTTTACCTCAGCTCTTGCCCCCAACTAGCAACCAAACCTTCTGATCCGCTTTTTTGGTTTGACTGGCAATGTCCCGGGATGCAATTTCAAGGTGCAATATAACCACGGATAGACTAAGCTTTCTTGAAACAACGTACCAAAGAAGGTTAACACATGCGGAAGTTCTCCCAATAGACGGGAAAATTCGGTTCGGCCCCTGGCTTGTGCCTGACGGTGTGGCCCCCTTCTCGTCCCTTGGACGACTACATTTTGAGCCGACTATCGTGATACTGTGGATGGGCAAGGAACCCTGGAATGATTTGATTCCCGTGTAAATACCACCCATGGTTTGTCATGGTCTAACCAAATATTGCAGGATTTCGTCCAACAGTAGTTGGGCAGATTTGAGAGGGACACAAATCAGGGGGCTCTCTGAAAGATGTATTCAACAACTCACCTGATTCAGCAGGATCCTCCAAACCAGCAGGCAACTGTGAATCTGTCTGACACGCTCAACACGTAGCCTTCTTGCTGGTCCCGTTAATATACCATGATCAAAGTCAGGTAGGTTGAAGAGATACAACCCTCATTTTCTCACTTTCCCCCAACAAAACAGTCAAAAAAAAGTACCCACGCTTCCGAACGAACAACTCCCTGGCCTCTGCGCTGTCGGTACCTCCCACGCCGATGATGGGCAAGCGCCCCCCCGTGGCCACGTAGGCGGCTTTGATGGCCGCCAAGCTCCGGCGGTGCAGCACCCGTCCGCTGACCCCGCCCTTGCCGATCGCGTCCGCCGCCACTCGGCCCTCCTGAAAGGGGGGCATGCAAAACCCCGTTGTTGTTTTTTTCTCCTTTTGTTCTTCTCAATTTTGGTTGCATTTTTGGGGGTCCCCTAAAAAAGACCCTCCCATGCTAGTGTATACATGTATATATATGTGTATATATGTATATATATGGTAGTCCCCCTGCTTCCCATGCCCCAAATGTCCCTCTATTCTAACAACTGGTTTCTTTTTCTGTTCACTTTCTTGGCCAAACATGGGTACCAAAGAAGGGATAATTTTAGCCCCCTTATTTAGATTCCTTAATCCCCGGTATTCAGAAATCTGGATCCAAGATCCAAGATTGCTGGGAGACTACTTTCAATATAAATGTCATGTTTTACTATTGCCAGCTAAAAAAACAAGAACCACATCTTGGAGTCAAGATTCAAGATTTCAAACTTTTTTTTTTATATTTATGTAATCATTGTTGAATCTTAAATCTGAAATCCCACCACACTGTTTGTTTTCCTTCATATTTCTTTGTACGTATGGGATTCAATATTGAAGAGTTCAACACAACATTATTCTGGAACTGTTGAATGCTTAATCCCATACTATAAAACAACCAACACCATCTGGCAACAGCAAAAACAACATGGTGCAATCCAGCCATCTCAAGCTATCAACAATATCGGATCTTAATACCGGTTTGGAACTTGGATTCAAGTTATAAATACTGGTTTTTAAAGATGTCTAAATGCCGGTGTTTAGATTTCACGGGGGCCGTTCATGGATCAAATAGTATGTACGCACGTACGCAAGTACATACGCATGTAAGCACGTATGTATGTGTTTAGGTGTTTAATGTATGTATGCATGTATGTATGTGTGTATGTGTGTATGTGTGTATGTGTGTATGTGTGTATGTGTGTATGTGTGTATGTGTGTATGCGTGTATGCGTGTATGTGTGTGTATGTGTGTGTGTGTGTATGTATGTATGTATGCATGCATGTATGTATGTATGTATGTATGTATGCATGCATGCATGCATGCATGCATGCATGCATGCATGTGTGCATGCAGCTATGTAGCTGTGTAGGAATGTACGTATGCATGCATGCATGCATGCCTGCATGCCTGCCTGCCTGCCTGGCTGTCTGTCTGTATGCATGTATGTATGGATGCATGCATGTATAAGTAATGCACGCAACGCACGCATGTACGTATTTCATGTAATGTAATGTAAGGTCATGTAACGTGGTGTATCATGCATGCATGCATGTATTTACAATGTGTACATACATACTTATATATATATGTATATATTTACAGACCAAGCGGTTGATCGATTTCGGTCGGACTCCTTGGAGAGTGTCGCTTCGGGGTTCTTGATGGTGTTGGAAATCACCAGGCCATCTGCCACCTCCCAGGGGAACGCACTGCCGATCGAACAACTCTTTCGGACTGGCCACTAAATTGTGGCTCCGAATATGTTGAGTGCAGAAACTTAGGGAGTGATGTAAGGATCACCCTTTTCCTTTGGCCTCCAAATCGCCTGCCCTGTCATTACCTGAACGTGTTGCACCCCACATCGCAACGTTAACCGAGCAGCCCGCGCCAAGAACAAGAGCTTAAAAAACAAAGCAAACAGTTGTTGGCGACTTGCTGATCAATTTAATTCTTCCACATAAAGCCCGCTGTTGCCCCTGTCTTTACTCCACAGCCTGGCCAGAAGCCGGAATCCGCCGACAACCGATAGCGTGTTGCGATCTCCTTACCTCTTACCCCTCCCCTGGGCGCGAATCCGGACTTGTACCACCCAGTGATTCCAAGACGTTCCCTTTTCATAGACTAAATCCTTTCATACGACGGGGGTTGCGGGACACGGGACTAAATCCTTGCATACGAGGGGGTTGCGGGACACGGCTGCGTTTATAAAAAGCTGATCGATTTCCCCGGCTGTTGCATCCTCAGCAGCACCAGCGTAATAACCAGCAATATCAGAATTACATTCCTGGAGGACAGGAGCAAAAAGGGTCAAAGGGAAATCTAAAGGACAAACTCCACTGGAATAATTCCATTGGGAAGGGGAAAATAGCAACGGGGAATGGGAGATGAAAAGTCCAAAGGCAAAATCCCAACGGGAAAATTCCAACGGGAAACTTCCCATGGCAAAATTCCAAAGGGAACATGCAAATGGGAGAATTCCAAAGAGAGAACTCCCATAGGATAATTCCAAAGGGAATAATCCAAAGGGAAAAGTCCAAAGGATGAAGTCCAATGCATTCCAAGAGAAAAATGGCAAAGGGAAGCTTGCAATGGGACATTGGACAATTCCAATGAAAACCTCCAATGGGAGAATTCTAAAGGAAAAAAGGTCAAAGGACAATACGAATGGGAGAATTCCAATGGGAGAAATTCCAATGAACAATTTGTTGCTGGCTGGCTGGCTGGCTGGCTGGCTGGCTGGCTGGCTGGCTGGCTGGCTGGCTGGCTGGCTGGTTGGTTGGTTGGTTGGTTTTGTTTTATTAGGTTTGCTTACTTTAGCGCCTCCGGCTCAGGCTGCCAACATTACAGGCCTGCTTTCTTATTATGTGTCGTAATTGTTCCCTGCTGAATTGTCCCTGTAAAACTTTCCCGTTGACTTTTTTCCCTTTGGACTTCTCCGTTTGGAATTCTCCCTTTAGAATGATTCCATTGGAGCTCTCCCTTTGGAATTCTCCCGCTGGACTTAAGTTTCTCTTTGGAATTGTCCCTTTGGATTTCGACACGTATAAGAAGCAGGCCTGTAATGTTGGCAGCCTGAGCCGGAGGCGCTAAAGTAAGCAAACCTAATAAAACAAAACCAACCAACCAACCAACCAACCAACCAACCAACCAACCAGCCAGCCAGCCAGCCAGCCAGCCAGCCAGCCAGCCAGCCAGCCAGCCAGCCAGCCAGCCAGCCAGCCAGCCAGCCAGCCAGCCAGCCAGCAACAAATTGTTCATTGTCCCATTGGAATTCTCCCATTGGAATTCTCCCATTCGAATTCTCCCATTGGCATTCTCGCATTGGACATTTCCCTTGGGCAATTGTCCCTTTGCACGTTTCCCATTGGACACAAAGCAAAGCGACAGGCACGGGCAACCAAGCCTGGGACTTCTCGATGATCTCCAGCAGCTCCTTTTGGATCCTCAAGGTGCCAGCCCAAAACGGAAAACGGGGTACCTCTCCAGAAACCCAGGGAAAACACCTGGCTTTGGAAAAGAACGGTGGTTGAAAGGAATGGGGAACCAACCCCTAGAAAAACGGGAAAAAATCGGATGGACGGAATCCATTTTGCACCAGATAGGCGACTTGTCCCAGTGTTCACTTCGGTGGCTTGTTCCATTCACAGATTACTCTTTCCTCCTGAGCAAAAGGTCAATCAGCTTTGTAAGTGGAATGAAAGAGCCATTTGTTTCCAAACGGTTTAAGGGGCCAAGCACCAAAGACCAGCCATGTTCACAAGGTTCATCCCTTCCAGCTGGTGCGCATCTTGGCAAACATTCCATGACCTTTGGAAAAGGGCCTCCATTTTCAACCCGCCCCCCCCCTTTGAGGTGAACAAACGGACCAGCTTAGAGTGTGTCTACTCAGTCCTTTGCAGCCCCCATAGACATGAACAGAATCACCCAAACATAGAAAAGCAACACAAAGACATAGGCGCTGGTCATCTAGTAAATCTAGTGGACATGCTGCTATTGCCGGGTGACACCCGGATGAGCACATACGGCGAGCACACAGAACCATCTCTCTATGACATAGAAATATCACTGAGGCACATTTGAAACACGATTAAGGCTAGCGTCCAATGCTTCGAAGCCAAACTGAAGCGCGCTGCGCTTGCGTCCGATCCATGGTTTTGAGTGGATCTCAAGCAACCGTCAACCAAAGGGAAGGGCTCACCGAACATTTCGCTGTGTGGGTTTTGCTTTTTGCGTGAACAAGATCGCACCCGAAAAGGGTTCACCAACAAATGACAGCCCCAATTTGTCCCCCCCCAATTCCGCTCAACCGCAGTTCCTTTCAAGCTAGATATGTCTTCAGGATGTTTCTTGTAACTCACCCTGAGAATTGGACAGCTACGCTTGGAGCAAAAGGGGATTTATGATAAAGGGGGATGATATCAAAAAGCAATCGCAAGGGGGCCCAATTCAATCCCTGCAACCGTCAATGGACTGGGCGCAATCTCATAACAAGCACCCTAAACGGGGGATCCCCTTCCAAAACGAGCTGGTGGTACTTGGATGTTCAAGTGGTAGGTCCAGTTCTCCCAGCGAAAAACATGTGTCATATCCTATTTAAGTGGGTTGAGTTGGCTTCAAGCCAAACTACACTCACGTGCAACATGGTCCTGCAATGGAAAGGAATGCTGTACTCAGGCCGGCAAGGTCAATGAAAACCGATCGCACCGCAGCAAGTTCGCAAAAGTGGGGAAAGACGCCAAGTTGGTCAACTTCTTCCGCGTATACTCATTGCCCAGAAGGAACCCCTCTGGAAATGGCACCTCACACAGGACCTCGAGGCACCAACGAGCTCTTGCCAGCGCTATGTGGCGTGCGCCAACCCTGGACCGATGGTCCCGCTGCACCACCGGTCAATAGCCAGGCAGCGCGACAAGGGGTTGAGCATCCAGGTAAGGCTACCAGAAGTCGCGGTGTGCGTGCCTGCTGAGACTTTCCCAAGTCTAGACTACCCTTCCTGGTGACATTGGATAAAAGCAGTCTAGACTTCTCTGCCACTCCACTGGTCCAAGCCCAAAAAAGAAAAACCGCCCCCATGGGGAGTGACAAACCCGAGGTCCCTGGTATGTGACCCGCCTTGGTCCCTTCACCCAGCGCGTCAGCGCGTCCTCCGGCCCTCCTGAGAATCCTCGGCGGCCATCAGCTTCACCAGCACAGGCGAGGGACTTGGCAGCTGCCGCTTCTCCTTCACTCGACAAGTCGGGAAGAATGGGCCTGTGGCCATGGGTCATAACCTATGCCTCCATTTTTGGGGCGGATGAACACCCATGTACCACCTACTTTGATGTTCACCAGGGGTGCAGGGTCTTGACCGCAAGAATCTTGGTTGCCGTTGACCCCCTTCAAAAGTTTTAAACTGTTTGGGGTTTAGTGGAAAACACCTTAAATAGTCCAAAGAGTTAAAGTCTAAAGATCCAACCCAATAGCAGTCAAGGAATGCGCATGTCAAAATAAGGAAGCAGCTCGAATGACGGTCTTCCGTTTTGGTGTCCTTTTCAACCAGGCTGAAAATAATTCCATGAACAAAGTGACGCCCCCCAAACTGAAAGTCATTCCCTTTCGGTTTGATACTGAACTTGGGGGAAGATTGAACATTTTGGCACTCTGTTTTTGGTCAGTGTTCAACTTTAAAAGTGGGTCGTTTACAGGTGGCAGAATGGAATACTACCCTCTAAATCGTGGTTTGAATGGAACAACCCCCAAAGTGATGCTCAACCCCAAAGTGATGCTCAAACCTTGGTCAAACGTCAACCCCGGAGGGGTCTACAGTTACTTTAAAATAGGGGCTACTCAAGGACTCCGGCGCTGCTAAACCCGGAATCTTGACTTGAATGTGGTTGTGTTGCGTGTTACAAAGATACTGCCATACTCTACAACACTCATTATGGGACCATGTAACACGCACACACAGCCAAATTCTGAATGTGTTCAATGAGGGTCTGGACAAAATGAAAAACCACACCCGCGATTTTCTGGGAACAAAGCAAACCTACGTTTATGAGCTGTAGAAGAGAAACTCCCCGGTAGAGCCCAAGCCTCCCCGGCAGTTCTTGCCACGAAATGAAAAAAAAGCCGGTCTGCGAGTTTCTGAGGAGGCCTGGAAGGTTGGTCAGGGAACCGAACGGAAACTCACCATTTCTCTAGGGGTAACTTCCATTTCCATTCTTTCCAGGGATCCTTTAGAAAACCACCCAAAACCCTGGAAAAAAAGGCGATCGGTTTTTGAAAAGAGCGATGGCTGAAAAGAATGGAAAAGGAATCCACCTCTCGGATTTTGGGGGTTTCCTTCCATTTTGACTCATAGACCCAATGCTTGACCTGGTCTTGAGGCTTCCCTCGCTTGATGAGGTAACTTCTGGCGATTCTGGCTATGTATCTAGAACTTGGCCGCACATCGTTTGCTGCCCGGTTTCAATCAAAATGAACTCAGTTGTGCGTGTATCCCTTACCAAAACCTCTCTTTAGTGGACTGCCACAAATCCCCTCAAAACTCCAACAAGCAAAAAGTCCAAGGGAACCCAACCCCCAAGAACCGAACAGGGCCTCCTTTTTGTTTGATGAAGAGACACCCTTCCTTCAGGGAAAACGAGGAACCCCCCTGACGTGGAAACTTCCGTCTCCTTGCCCACCGCTGAGAGCAAATCTGCCAGGGCTCCAGGCTCCTCACCGGCGAGGGGATCTGGGGTGCTTCACAAGTCCCTCGGGAAAAAAAATCGGAACTATGTCCAGTAGCGATACGGGGATCCAGATGCATTATACACCTGAACATTGCAACTTCTAAATGGTGGCTTGCCTTTATTTTGGTGGAAAAAAACATGTTTCAAATGGTTGCAAAATGTATCTGTTAAGGAGCCCTGTGATAGAGTCCCTTCAAAACCAACACGGGAACAAGACTGACAGATTCTGAAACGCAAAAGGAAGAGGGCTCTCAGCGGCATGGAGGCAACTTGGGTAACTTGGCCAGGACCATCGGAGGGAAAACGGGGGGCGGAGCAAGAAGCAAGAGCATTGTTTGTGTGTGCGTGCCGTCAAACAGCATGCAAATATGTCATACACATGTTCGGCTTTGATCGGTCACAAGTGGCAAAGGCACCTTCGGTCATGAAGGTAGGGTTCTGATGCTTGACTAAACCAAGCAGACTTTTTATTTGTATATATTACACATACTTGCTGTATGGCGCTTACATACCTCCAATTCTCCTGGTAGTGGTTGCTGATAGTGGCTTGGCGGACAAGTGGCAATCATCTTAGATCAATTCAAACCGGGCATGATTCTGCTTGTTCCTCATGTCCATGGGAAGCCCCAACCCCCGAAGCCCAAAGCCCAAGCCAAACCCCGCCCCCCTTCGTTCCCTCGATGTCCCTCAAACCAATCCGCACAAGCTAAGGCCAGCTAAGGGTTACCTGAAACCAGGGCTTGGTTCAAATGCAAATCCAAACCCATCCACCCGAGCGTTACAACCGCAATCCTCGAAGGTCTTGCCCTCCGTGGTGTTGGGGCACGACACGTTGAGCACCACGAAGTCCGCCAAAGGCGCCAAGGTCCGGAAACTCCCGCAGAAGTCTTCCACTGCCTCGACGAGGCGGCTGGGACCAAAGGGTTTTGGGACGCCCTGTGTGGAGGTCAGCGACAGCTCCCTTGGTTTTGCGCCCATTTTTTTTTGGTGAACAAGTCATGTTGGCCATTTAGATGGGGTGTGGAAGGTCGGGAGGTGCTCTGGAAGTGCACAGAAACAGCGTGTTGCAAAGCCCCTGGCAGAAAGCTGGCGGGCCTGACCATCACAAGGACGCAACAGGCATTTTCTATTAGGGCCTAACTCATTTGACTGGGGTTGTGGGCTATCTCAAAACCACATTTAAAAATCGGGGGTAAACCATTGGCAAATGTTGAGATCAACAGTCAATTAGCATACCCAACCAATAGATCAGCTAGCATGAATTTGGAGATAGGAAAGGGCCGGGCCCCAGATTGGGTTCCATGACACTGATTCTTTCGCGCTCTACCCAATTTTCTCTGGGCTTCTTTCTGGAAAATCGACCAGCAATAACGGCTGCTAGTGCCCAGAAAACGAAATACTTCTTCCTGGGGAGCTCTCTGCCAACTACTTATTCTCCTTCAAATAGGTGGTTTCCATTGGAATTCATCCTTGCAATGCGTACCCACAAGGCCACACCAAAAGGCAAGAAACAATTACCCAAGCAAACGCGCTCACATCTCGAACAATTTTCCGAGTGTGCAAACGAATGCCTAGAATTAAGTATCTTCGACAGTGCCTGTCTCGGTCATTCCAATTTGGAACCGAAGGTGTCCTTTTGGAAACAAGGCACTGGCAAATGTTTGTACTGATTCCAGTGGAGTTGAAGCAGACGGCGAATGGTGGAAACAGGGCCCCCATATCCCAGGCACATCCAACCATTGCCGACCGTCACTCATGGAACTTCCCAAGTCCACAGAAAATTATGTTATAGCCCGTCCAGAACTTTGAACTGAGGGATCCCCAAGATAAGGACCTACATGGCCTCACACGCCTCACGAGAGGTTGGTAAGTGGGTTAGACCCCCCCCCCCCGTCGAGCCTTGTCACCCAGGATCTGCGGGTCATGTGTCTTCGCGATGTTCACCTCACTTCGCAAAGGAAATTCACCGAAGGAGCCCGGTTTAAAGAGGATGGCCAAACCAAGAGGAATGGTGCCATTTACTTTCACCCAAGAGGTGGTTCACCCCGGAAATTTTGGGGATGTGCGTGTTAAAATAGGGACCCCCCCCAAAAAAAATAGTGGTTGTCCCACTAGTTTCCCATCTTTTTGGGTCCCCCCTGCAAAAACACACGCACAAACTTGCGACCAGGAATTTGATCAAGCCCCGCTGCCAAACCCGGCGAACCCCATCTGGCAAAGCGCCGAGCCGCCCCCACGGGATTGCGGCCTTTGGCTGTCTCCCGCAGCTCTTTGAGCCGCGCAGCCACTGCCTGGCGAAGAAGCGCGAAGAAGCGCGCTGGCGTCTTCGCCGAGCGTTGGGCCCAAAACTCAGAGCCCCCAAAACCCCAGCGGACTTGCTACAAGGTGATTGTTTGTTGGTTTTGCCATACTCTTCATTGAAGTAGGTAGAACCACGTACCAAACTGGCCAACAGACATGTCGGGCCAAAGGCTCACTTCAGTGGGTTGGTCTGCTGACCGCTATGGTCTTCCCCAGAAGTGCTTGAAGTCAGAACCAAAACAATGAGCATGAAGCCAGCGTCAATGCAATCGGAGCCTAGTGGATCGGAAAAACAAATGAAGCAAAGAACAATTGTCTTTCAAAGGTTCCATTAAACCCCGTTGGTGTCTTGGATTCCAAACCCTCTGGTTTGGTTTGGTTTGGTCTGGTTTGGGTGGTTGGGAGGTGGAGGGACGTTGTAGTTTCCTTCCCATTTACCCTCGAGGACAAGGCCTTCAAGTCCTGAACCACTCCAAACCAGTTGGGGGTAATCTGACCGATGCGAACCGGAACCACCCGGGAAGGTCGGGCAGTTTTTGCTTGGATCCACTTGACATCACGCGCGCGCGTGTGTCCGTTTTGGAAACCCGTTTGGCTTTAAGGAAACCACGCGGAAGTCATACATAAATACATTTGTGGAAGACCTCATTGCTTTGCATTCGTTTGGTTACAAATGATCGTCTCAAAACAAAAATGGCCCAAAAGTGAGTGGCATCGACGCAATGCATGAGCATCCCGCATTGGTTGTGTGTGACCCTGGCAATGGGGATTGAACAGCAAGACGTGGTGATGCGACGGTGCCGGCCCATCAGGGTCAAAAGAACCACATAGGCAACCCTCAGGGTCTGAGAGCGGTAATTGCTCCTTAGGCTCCATTGAGGTCCTGGCCCCATACCGACAAATTCATGGTCGCGGACTGCGCACACATGGGGCTCCCTGCTTTGGAAAAGAACCCGCTCGCGACTCGCAACGTTTGATTTTGCACCGCCTTTGAAAGAAGCCTTTCGAACGGAATGCGGGGAACCCAACAGAAAGTCTGGCTTCAGTCCCCCCAATTCTAGACAACACCCACATGAGGAAGCCAGTAGCAAAGAAAGCCAGAGTCGCGGTCAATGCTGGAGGTGGCAACTGTAATCTCAAGAGCGATCCTATCTCAAGCGGATCTTCGGCCTAGACACGAGTCACAACCAACAGTGTAACCAGCCAAAACCCATAGACAATTCCGAGGGTGGATATCCACTCATCGTTTCCAACGAGACCTTCAAGCCTGGCGAAAAAGGCGCCGACGCCTCCCCCCAAATACGGCTTCTTCACATTTTGCCGGGAAAACGTTGGGGTTGCCGCTGTTTGGAGTTGTTTTCAAGGAAACCTTTGGAGTCTCCCCAAAACAACCGCGCACGGGCAAACATTGGACTGCGCACCTGTGGATTTCGCCCAAGCAAAATTCACAGACCTTTCCGGGGTTTCAGAGTTGCAGCAGTAAGGTCGTACCCCGTGGCCAATGACCGTCTGTTGGAGGAGTTTGTCTGAGGCCGGAAGGGTGGTACGACCTTAGTGCTTGCGATGATGGTTCCCAAAAGTTGTGCCCCTGAAGGTCACTCGTTTCACTCCCAGCTGAGCTCGCCATGATTTCTCTACCGGTGGAAAGAGGCCAGCCCAAGCTAGTACCGAGCAAAAACAGGGGGGTCGTAGCTTATAACACTGGCCCCCAATTCCAGAGGAAAAACGCTTCCCCGTTGCGTGGTGGAAATGAAGATGCTGTACCTTCCCAAACTGAAATTAAGGGAACCGCCAAGTAGCGGACTTTCATCATGGGCGAATTGCTCGTTTTCACCTCGGAAGGGTGAGCTAATCACTATGCTTTGCCCAGAAGGATCCATGTGGGATTGAACTGTAATTGGGAACTCTTTGGACATCATCTATGCGGCTGTACCAACGGTCTGGGGTTTTCCAGCTGTTAAATTGTCAGGTATGCCTTGATTGATGGATGTTGATGGCTTGGATTGGTGGTTTCAGGACTTGGACATCCAGTTCGTCTAGAGGATTATTCTAAATGGGAAGCCGCTGAACCAATCCAAGCCACCAGGAGGGATGCTGAGCCTGCCTCAGCGCCCTGGTTGTTGAGCCCCATGGCGTTCACCACCGCCTTTGCGGCTGAGCCCCGAGCGTGGCAGACATGGGCAGAAACCATGCGAACGAACCCCCCCATGGAAGAACATGTTGCATTTGTGTTTATGTATATATACGTATTGTACTCTAAACATATATATATATATATATAAATACTTCTATGTGTGCGGGGCGTGATTTAGAACGGAAGACTGGACCTGCCAAAATGGAGGACCTATAGAACCGAAAGCTGGACTGTTGCAAAGAGACCCCAAGCCAACGCGACAATGTGGGGAAATCTGACCAAATGGCATGAATTGGGGGGGGGTCTCAACTAGAACTGCAGACACCCGCTTAGATACTTGAGGTACTGTTTAATCCCTTTGGTGGACATCAATCAGGGTGCAATTTAGGTCCACCAACCACTTTTTAAAGGGTTTCCGACTCTTCAAATTCACATCCACTTCAAACAGGGATTTCTGTATTTCCCCTTACAACATCACCCCTCCAAGGCAGACTCACCTTGAAGCTGCAAAACGGTGATATTCAAAACCTCCAAAAAGGGGACTATACTGACCCCACAGGAAACCCGAAGACACCGCTTCAGTCTGCCAAGCGTTCCGTTGCCAAACTCGCGCGACGTAAAACCGCAAGAGTTCCCCATGGCGATGGGTGCCGGCACCGTTTTGCCGCACTTGAAAAGAATGGCAGACAGTTAACGCGTATTCCTATTCCCAGTTGAGTGGATTGACTTGTTGTCTACCCAAAAAGCCGCAAGCCCACAAACAGACATGGGAAAAGGCAACGTGTTTCTTCAAATATCAACCTAGGGAACAATGAACACACAGAAATAACAAATTCTGCCGAAACAGAAACATCGCAAACATCTCCAAGATCATGATTTGAGTGTCCTTTTTCGAGGATACCCCTTTTTCGTTGGCAAAGGGAAACCAAAAGGAAAAGCATCTTTTTGGGCCTCCTAACAAAGGACAAAAACACCAATTTCAGCCATTTTCCAAAAGTCCTCCCCAAAACAAAGGTCCTCCGCCAGGACCCTCCACCCCGCCCCCTACCCGACTCTCGCCTCATCGGAGGGGATGCGCCAGCACCGGGGCCGGGGGTTGCCATCCGCAGGGTTGCAGGACACTGAGCCCACCTGCCGCGATGGCCAGGCGCCCCATGTGCTTTTGTTTTTGTTGGCCAGGTGCATGCCATACATGCAGGAAACATACAAGGCCCTGTTGACTTTGTACCACACTTTGCGTAGATCCCTTTCAGTCCCAGGTTTTGATGTTCACTCACAGTTCTTCCTTTCCTCTTGCCGAGCTAAGCCTCCACCGCTGCATTTTGCTTTGGGGCCCGCCAACAGTTACAGCACAGTGGATGGCCAATTTGGCACCCCTTTCACCTTTGAGATTATGACCATTGTTATAAGCCAACTACCCCCAGTTGCACCGGTTGTAACCTAGTAACTCAGGTGAAAAGGTTAAGCTTTTGGAACCTGGACAACAACTGACCCTTTGGAACCTTGCCTAAAAAAAAACAACCTTCTGGGACCTCGCATTAAACAATGACCAAACAACAAACCACTGCCCCTACGGGCAATGCGGTATATACCCTCTACATGGTGGCAACATAGCGGGTGTATATAACCCATTTCCCCCAGCAGTAGTGGGAACCCCGGGTCAATAAGCCATCCTGATAGGGGGCTGTCATGCACAAAAGTACGGGGTTCCCAGAAGAAGGGGGCCCCTCATTAATCAATCACAAATTGTCAATCCCTATCAATCAATCAGGGGGTTGTCAATCGAGGGTTAGCATAGGATAGCTTTTGGCTTCAAAAATGAACCCCAGAATTGTGGCTTTTGCTTGTTCAAATCATTTCTTTCTGGTTGTCCTTAGATTCTGCTCAATCTTTTGTCCCGTCCCTTGGGATGTTCTCTGTTTTTCCAAGCCTCAGAAACCAAAGGTTAAAACCTTTGGAGCCTTGACGCATCACATCAAAACCAAATCCAAGGTGAACCTTTCGGAACCAAACCAAATGGACCAAATCACTGGTGCGACAGGGGAATGAGACATGGAATGACCAAGGCCATTCCGTAACTCGTGGCTTCCTTTCGGGAATCCCCAAAACCGGTTCATTCCCACCTGGGTTTCCTTCCCAAGCCCATGGTAAGGAACCCATAACGGCTGTTGGCACGGCACGTTGAACCGAATCATTCCCTTCACCTTCTTAGGTACCTCTCCAGCTTTCGCACCCGCTTCCCCTCGATCGCCCGATCGCCCGATCCTCCGCGAAGCCCAGGCCGAAGGCGCCCAGCCGGTAGAGCGGCACCTCGCGGTGCCCATCTCGGCGGTCTCGGCTTTGAGTTGGTGCCCTAAGCCAAAAGGAGAACCACCAGTTAAGTTGCACCTAAAAACACACACAAACACACACATGGGTATGGCTCAAAATTAAAGAGCTGGGGTTACGCGGGTTTTAGTCTTTGGTTCCATTTACCAAGGTGCCATTTTGGTACCACATGTTTTTTGGGGGGTCTCTTGAAAAAGGACAGACCCAACTTGGGCTCGTTTGGGTTCTGGGTTGAGTTGCGCCCCCGAAAGCGGTGGACCTTCGAACTAGCTGTGCTTCTACTTGAAGACATGGCAGGGCCCAGGTAAAACTTCATAACCATTTTTTGGCTCCCTGATGTTGAGGACTCTGTACAATTTTGGGGCTGCGCCACCTCAGCGGAATATAAGAAAAGTTCCAGGGGGGCAACACACAGGCTTGGCTGACGTGGCTTTACGTGACATCGCTTCAACATTTGTGCATCCAGTGTCCGCGTGGCTGCGTAGCTGGCTGTCTGTGTGTCTTTGCGTGCGCGTGTCTGCGTGTCTGTGTGTGTGTGCGGAGTGTCAGTTCAACCCTGACGCCACAATGAGCAAAGCAGGGGGTGGCAGCAGCAGCAGGGCCGAGAGCTTGCCACCAATGAAGACACTCTGCAGTCTCTGGTGAAGCAGTTGGAGTCCAACTGTGTGCCTGCTGACGTTGTACAAAGTCCTTTTGGCCTCCCCTGAAACGCTGTTGTTTCTCTCTTTCCCTGTTGAAGTAACTAGAGCAAAGCTTTCGTATGCATCTGTCTCGCCACTAGAACCACCCACTCGAATCACCCCGCTCGAACTTCAGCATTCTCCCTGGCGTGTCTGTGTGTCTGTGCGTCTGTGCGTCTGTGTCTCTGTGTGTCTGTGTGTGGGCGCATGACTTCTTGATAAGACACCTATCAAGGGCGCCAGCGCCCATTTCAAGGCCAATAAGAGGTCTAAACGCCTCTCATGGGGCATCTCCCAGCTTTTGATAGGATCACAACCAATGCGCAGGCGCTGCCTACTCTTTGGATCCACACGCGAAGGCACAACGGGGGTCCGATAAGCTCTGCAGAATGATTGGCGCTGTCGTTCAAATGCAATTGGGGGGTCCAAGTGCCTGAATGGCAGCCCAAAGAAACACTACGGGTGCACAGTTGGGAGAAGATGCACAATTCCCTCAATGTGGTTTAGTCATCCCCCGTTTTTACTCACATGTAAGAATGTGCCAGCCAGTCTCCTTCGCCCACATCTGGGGTACACAGAAAATCATATCTTCGGACTCTGTTTAACATTTCGCCTACCCTAAAACTCAGATTCCTTTGTTGGGATTCAAAGGGGCGCCCTTTGGGTTGATTTAATCTAGGTGTGTCTCAAAATATCGGGAGGCCCGTGACGTAAGTCTCTTCAAGCGTCCAGAAGCGCGTTCTTGTCAAAGCCCGCCGCGATGCCCACAGGGTTTTCCTCAGAGCCGCCAGTCTGCGAGCTGAGCGCTCCATTTGCTTCTTCTTGGCTTCCCTTTATAAAACGACCAATCGGGGTTCCTCCAAAAAATAGACGAACCAAGAAGAGACTCTTGAGTCCCCTGGCAAAAAATGAAAACATTTTTCGGTAGTGATAGATTCCTTTCAAAACAAAGGGAAATCAAACATATTCTGAAGCGCAAATGGAAGTTTAGGGTCCCGGTTTGGGAACCATCCCCTTAGTATACTGACTAGTGGTTGTATATCCCTTCTTAAATGTCCCCCTTTTGGGGGAATCGACCAACAACTCCAGGGCTTAAGTCTACCGTAGCACAGCTGTGCAGAGGCTGCCGTGTGACAATCCATCTCTTCAGCCACTTAAACCTGGCTTTGACCAACTCAGAACGACATGTTCTGAGAAGCGGTCTAGACAAACAGAACCTGAACAAGAAACATGTCAAACGCCGGGTTCCGGCATAGCTCCGCGCAGGTTAAGGGACTCTTGGCTACTCCCTTGGCTGGATTCGTCGGGATACACCCCCCCTTGCTTGACCCACTTGACTTGGCCCATCCGTTCACCGGCTTTCGCCGGCTGTCTGCGTCGTTGAATCCCGATATCCCCCTCCCCGAACCCACTCATAACCTTCCCATGCTTTCCTCAAATTAAAATACCTGCGATGGCAAAAACGTTGGAGTCCGATTTGATGGAAACAAGAGTGCTTCTCGCGGAGGGGGGGGGAGGGCAGGAGATTGTGATGAGATCCCACGAATTGCATATCCGTCCCCAGCCCCTGTCTGCCAAGGCTGGAAGCTCTCTCTCTCTCTCTCTCTCTCTCTGGCTCTCTCGCTCTCTATCCCTCTCTCTCGCTCTAAATGTCGGCGGTTGGCATGTTGACTCTGCAAGAACATGAAACTGGCCTGAAAGATCTTGAAAGCTTTATATATATATACATATTATATTATATATATATTTATTTGTTAATATATCTATATATACACAAATAACACATGCACATATATATATATATATACATACATACACATGATATGAATAGATTAATTGTGTGTTCTGTTCGTATATATGCATATTCAGTATAAATCTATGCAATCTATCCAATAGATTTGAATCAAATGGAAACGAACCGAACTGAAAGACACTGTTCTATCTGTGTATCCATCTAGGTATCTATTCAAATATCTATCTATGATGACAAGCTGCTATGCATTCCAACATGGTCGTGTGTCAACTCCAAGCATTCCTCTTGGAATTCAACTTTTTTAGATTCGCTTCCTGGGCTGTCCTCAGATCCCCCGCTCAAAGTTTAACTGTTTGTGGCTTGAATTCGGAACACGAAACACCAAAAGGATCTAAAAAGCTATTTGGATGGCCTGGAAAAATGAGAAAATATGTCCAGTAGTGATAGATTCCCTTTAAAACCAATAGGGGAAAATTAAAAACACAAATCTTCACCAAATCTCAGCTGCCCAAAGGGCCTGGAAACAAAAGGTTAACCTTTTGGGACCTTTGCTTAAGGCTTAAAATGGGCCAACGTGGGAAAACCAAAAGGTCATTTCAGGTCGATTCGCCTTGGACTGAGAAATGGCTGAGAGAACTTCGCCTCCCCGTCCCCTTCCTATCTCCTCTCTCGAGCGGCGAAGTCCAACCCAAAGAGCCGCTGCCGCAGGCGCGGGCGCTCAGGGCCGCTGGAGGGCGCTGGCCGCAGCAGCCAGTCCTCGGTCTCCCGAAGAAAAAAAACCGCGACGGCTCATGGACGTAGAAATAGGCACTGGTTTAGATAGCCCTGGTAACTGAAACAAAGCCCATCTAAAGGCCATCTAGTTTTAACCAAACCAACCTAAAAGGACGCCTATGTACCCAAAATGGAACCCTGGTAAATGGAAACAAGGACTAAACCATCTAAAACCTGCGGTCCCTGATGGTTAAATTTTGACCCGTACCCACATGAGTCATAAGCAAAACCCGGTAGTAACATATGGGTGCGGATTTATTTTTGTTTTTTTTTCAGACTTTTTGGGGATTCTTCGTTATTCGTCCGGCATTTTACACTAGCCCGTCAACATCCCCAGCATCGTTTTCAACATCCCCCGCATGTCCGACCAACATCCCTAGCATCACCAACAAATCGTGGGTAACCAAATCGAAAAAGTAGCTGGCGGGTTGACGGGGTCAAAACATGATGATTCAAATAGGAGGGCATTTCGGTCCCTGTAAAAAAAGACAAGTAGCGGGGGGGCTGGGGGGGCGGCAGCCCCCCCATGATGTTCGCAGAAGTGATGATTCGAATAGGGGTGCAATTCAATCTCTGCAAAAAGTTTAAAAAGTAGCGGGGGGGTTGGGGGGGCGGCAGCCCCCCCTTCCCCACGATGTTTGAAGAAGTGTTGATTCAAATAGGGGTGCGATTACTCTGCAAACAATCTGAACAGTAGCGGGTGGGTCGGGGGGGGCCCCCCCATGATGTTCGAAGAAGTGATGATTCAAATAGGGAGGAACTGGTGATGCTGATCATGCGGGAAGCCAAATCCAAAAACCAATGACAGGCCAAAAAACCCAGAGAGGAACTGTGAAAGCAGAGGATGCGAAAAGCCAAAGCCCCCAACAGCATAAACCATCGAAAAGCCGCAAAAGCCAAAACGCCACCTGCCGAAGAGGAACTGGGAATGCAGAGGATGCGAAAAGCCAAAGCCAAAAAGCCACCAAAAGCCGCATAAACTAACAAAAAGCCGAAAAGCCCAGAAGCCGAGAAGCCAAAAAGCCAAGAAGCCAATTAACATATTCGCAA